TGAGGGAGAGCTTCAACCGCCAGGTAATTTGGGCTTCTGTGTAAAAATAGAAGCTTCCAGATGGTCTGAAGAAAATGGGGGGGAGGGTGTGGAGGGGGCGAGCCTCCGTAGCTTGGAACATCCTCTGGAGGAAAAATTCAGTATAATTGGAAGTGTCTCTCACGTTACCACTCAAAATCCTTATTTCGGTGGTTTTCACTATGTGTTTTCCAGCTTGGCTTTTGGGTTGAATGGTGTCTAAATAATTCAGAAACGCCTCTGTGATTTCCAAGGCTACAATTTTAGAGAGGCATATAAGGGCAAGAGTGGGCTTGTGTAAGCCACCATTCAGGGGTGGGATTCTACCTGGTTGCACCGGTTCTATAGAACTGGTTGTTACAATTCTACGCAGTTCAGAGAACCGGCAAATCTCATCATTGGCTGGCCCTTCCCCGCCCAGTCACTCCTTACCCGGCATGTGCGCCATCCAACTTGCCTGCTAAGTTGCTGTTTTTGCTTTCCCTCCCCACCATCAGCTATTCCAACTATCAGCTGTGCAGGGAGATTTAAATTAGCTAAAAAGCAGGAAATCGTTGAAGCTGAACCTTCCTAGCTTCCATTTTTCCAGTTCAGACTCAGGTAGCAGATTGCAGAAAGGTAGATCTCTGAGTGAATCTGTGATTCTGGGAGCAATTAATCTGCTTGCCTGCTTTGGGGTAAAAGTTGCTCATTTTTAATAAAAAAATTCAATATTTACATACAAGCCACGCCCAGCCAGCCACATGACCAAGCCACACCCACAAATTAGGCCATGCCCACAGAACCGGTTGTTAAGAAATTTGAATCCCACCCCTGCCACCATTGGTTGATCTTTGACTGTCCCATGATTATTTAGTAACAATAACTAGTTAAATATTTAGTTTCAAAAACTTATCTTAAAAACTCAATGTGACTTGTGCAAGACTCTGTATTAAAAATAGTGCATCAGATAAATTTCCCAGACCCCCACTTGACTCCTGGGAACCTCATGGAAATGTCCATATCATTTTTTTTGGGGGGGGGGGGAGGAGGGAGGGCAGGAATATGGAAGTAGTTCTTCATTGCTCTAGGACTGAGTGGGTTCAATCCTGCTCGTTTTTTCCCCCATTTCAGACAAAACTGGCTAAAATTAAGACGATCAGATGATTGAAGGGCTTCAAAAAAAAAAAAAAAAAAAGCAAGCTGCATACGCGTCCAGATTATTATTATTTTTTTCATCTTGAAAATGCTTTAATAAGGAAGTGTCGACAACACCGTTTTTGCAAAATGTAAAGAGAACTATACAAATTCTTAATACAAAAAGAATAAATTAAAAGCGGATTTAAAAAAAAAAAAATTCTGCAACTCGTAACAGCGGTCTCTCGTTTTTCTTGATCGCTGCCGTACAAAGGAATCCGAATCATTTTTACATGGTTTACAGCCGATTTCAGAAGTTTCTTTTTTATTTTAGAAAAAAAGTTGATCTTATCTATATATATATAGATAAGATATAAAGAAGGGAGCTCATATGCATATCCATAGTTCCCTCCTTTATATCAAATTAACTAAGCAGTATAACTGGTCATCATGATAGCACCTGAATGAGGCCTGCTGTATCCAAAACGAATATTGAGTTGAAAAACAAAACCAACTTCCTTTCTTCTCTTCCCAACATTTTCAACACCCAACTGCATATAATATCGTTTAAAAAATAAACCCTGGCCACCATTTGACCTGGTGCAAATGCATATACAAAGCTGGAAGGAGCGAGGGGAGGTTTTACATACAGACTAAAAGCATTTTCAGACCTAGTAAGACCCTTTTTTCTTCTTTTTCTTCCTCTATATAAAAGCAGAATTCAAGGGTCGGTGAGGGGCGGGGGGCTAATTGGGGCCGTACACTACCCATGAATACCCCCTTCGTGTTTTATTCCGATCCTGTTAATCTCCCGATTAACATTTTTATTTATGTACATTTATTTTTAATTTCCCGTAGAACTGAATCGAGTTTAAACAGTAAAACCTGTTTTACTTTAACTTCTGTCTTTACTACCAGACTGGCTCACAAGTGCCTTGATAGAAAGAAATAAAAAACACATTGGAAATCACCCTATTTTTTTTTTCTCTCCTCCCCCAGCAAACAACACACCCAGGGCCATCTGCAAACTAGCTGAAGGATGTGAGTTGCTTTTTAAAAAAAATTAACTTTGCAGCCAGGGTTAGACTTGTGGAGGGTAGAGTTTTTTGTTTTGTCCTTCTGCTCATTCACACCCCAAAAATCTCACCTGATAAGACTAGAAGGTGCATTTTGTGGTCCAGAGGTGAATTTTTTGGCTGTGAACGAACCTTGTTGAAGTGATGATGGGTAACACTGAATACCATCAACTTACAAACTGAGGGGGGGGGGGGCGAATTTGCTTGCAGGGTTCCTTCCCAAGAACCTGGCAATTCTGTATTTGTTTGAAAACTCCCTGAAACTCTGGTTTATTCCTTTCCCATTTTGACCCTGGTCATCTGCCAGCATCCTGGCTTATCATTTGGCATACAAATTAAAAAGAATAAGAATTAAGAATAAATCAAGAATTCTAGCTGCTGATTGAACTGAAAAGTTGGTATCTCTTTAAAAAAAACAACAACCCTGTGAAGTGGTATGTTTCAATGTTTTTGCATGTTTTAAAATAGTAGATAGTAGATCATTCCTTCCCTCCCTCCGGAAAAATTACAGATTGACGAAGAAAGCGGAGAATTCTGCTAATTCTCGCTCTCCAATACCCTGGTTCATTTTGCCCCCTAATAAGAGGACAAGCAAAAAGATGCTACAAAACCGGCATTTTTCAACCTCAGCAACTTTGAAGCTGTGTGGACTTCAACTCCCAGAATTCCCCCCAGCTTGGGGAATTCTGGGAGTTGAAGTCCACCCAGCTTCAGGGTCGCCAAGATTGGAAAACACAGAAAACCATAAAGACATGAGCAAGTGGCGAGGGGAGAAGTTATTTTCACCTTAAAGAAATGTCTGAACGACCCAAGCAGGGCGGTTCCAAGATCACCCAAAAGGTTATTTTCTGGTTTGGCTAAGCGAAGAAGTAAATGATTGGCCAGATTTAAAGGAAAATATTTTGATATTCTGGGTGCAAATCAGCATAAAATGAAATGCTGGAATTCTCCCCGCCCCCATCCTGATTCCGGATTAGGCAGCCTGCTCTGGAGTGGGCGGGTGGGCAGTTGCCACCCTGACTCTTTGGATCTCTCCGTTGTCGGTCCGTGGCCTAAACACAGGTCGTCCTGGACTTACAACCGTTCATTTAGTGACTGAAGTTACAACGTCACTGACAAAAAAAGGAACTTCGGACCATTTTTCTGCACGGCCATTGCAGCTTCCCCATGGTCATGTGATTGACATCCAGACACCCGGCAACTGACTCGCATTTCTGACGGCGGCAGCGTCATAATGGTTGAGCCCAAAGTTTCCATGGCAAAGCGAGACAGTTGCTAAGTGAGGTTTTTTTTGACCCATTTGATGACTTTTCCTCCCCCATTCGTTCGGCAGTTGTTAAGCGAGTAACCTGGTTATTATAAGTGAATCTGGCTTCCCCCTTCAGACTTGGCCCGTCAGGAGGTTGCCAAAGGGGTTCATGTGACACCCCCCCCGGGCCTGTCATAAATATGAATCGGCTGCCAAGCATCTGACTTTCGATCACGTGTGACTATGGGGATGTAAAGCGTGGGGGGCAAAAAAACGGTTTGGAGTGGTTCGAGTGAACCGGTTGTTCTGGCAATGATTTGGCCCAACCTGCCTGCTCCTGCCCTAGTCTGTCCTACATTTCTGTGTTTTACACCTCAGCTGATCCGCCCGGCATAGTGGATTGCAAAGCTCAGCTGTCTTACTCACCGGGGCTGCAGTAGAAGGTAAATATTAAGAGGTGAAAAGGGGCAGTTTTCAAACAACGCATGTGCGCACAAAGCACGCATTCATCGAACCGGTTGTTACCCCAGTTGAATCCCACCCCTGGGAAATATGGTCATAAGTCTCTACTTTTCACTGCCATTGTACACTTGGTCACTAAACAAACTGTTGCAAGTCGAGGACTAGCTGTACATTATCCAACAATGTGCCTCCCTTTTTTTTTCTCCTGTTCACCCCTCTGGCATTTCAACCTTTGTGTGTTCCTTCTGTGATCCATTTTCTTCAAGAGCGAGCCGCTTTCAAGTTCTTTTTTATTTTTTTCCTGACTATTCCTCGCCACTTAATGAATGGAAGCAGTCGATGGGTATTATTATTATTTGCTCTTTGGACTCTCTCTTGAATTTTTATTTTTATTTTTTTTTGCTATTGCCAAACTGACGCACAAACACACAAAAAGAAAAAGAAAGGCAGGACACCCATGTTGTCCGGTGGCCATAAAAAATCAAAGTAGCACCGTAGAGGAGACTTGGCTTGCTCGCTTCAAGATCTGGCCAGATCAGGGGGTGGCTAATGCAAGGGCCTCCCTTCCCCCTCCCCAAAAGACGGATTTTTAGCTCTTGTTAAGATGAGGGGTGGTGCAGGGATGGTGGCTTGTGGAGAAGCCCGTGGGCTCGTGAAGATGGTCGGCCCAGAACGGATTACCGGGACCATGGACATCGCTTCTGGGATTCTTATAAAAATATCGAGGCTTTTTGGAAGTTGGATGGCTTTCTAGATTCATCAAAATCATGGCTTGAGCGTTTGTTCCCTCTCCGTCTCAGCCACCTCGTTTTTTCGGGAATTCAGTGTGGGTGAATTAAGGGCGGACGGTTTCATTTTAGGAACGGAGGGAAAAGTAAATTGAGTTCGGCCACGCTCTCTTTCGTTTAAGAAAAATCCCCCTGGCGAATCGCAAAGCCTTTTCCTACGATTAGGGGATGCATAATATAATTTTGAGATCACGTTCCATATATCCCGATCTACCTTCCCTTAATTTGAGCTCTTCCCTTATATGGTTTCTTTTCTTTTTGTAACACTGAACGTTTTGGGTGGCATTTTCACTTCATCCGATGACGGTTCTTCCAAGCAATATCACGGTGTGCTCTTGCAATTTTTTGCCAGGGAATGTTGCAAAAAGAACTAAAATTTCCCCTTCCTCTTATAATTTGGCCTGCCTCCCTGTTCTCCCAACTGGTTTCTCCCAACAGATCCTGGGCTTCTAGTCATCTTTCATGTCATCCCTTGCGGGATGGAATCTGTCTGGGCAACTGAATGGAGCTAACAGAGTGTTTTAATGGCCGGATATCCTTCCTGTCACCAGAGCGGAGTCTTGTTTGGCAGTTATATTCTCAGTCTGCCCAGAGAGAGAAATATCTGTTTCTACCTAGGATCGAACTCACAGTCTCCTGATTGTGAGGCAAGAGATCCGCCTCTAGGCCACCCCACCATTTTATCCTGGGTTTATATTCCCTGATCTAAAATGGTTCAAGGTTTGTCGGGTCTCAAAAGGGCATCAAAAAGGCTATTGCCACTTCTTAAAAAAAACAACCCCGTTTTAGAGAAAAGCGAATCCTTTGGGCGAGTCACCGAAATCTTTGGCAATCTACCGCCAATTGGTTTGATGACCTTCTGGCTCGTCCCTGTAGACCAAGCCTGGCCAGCTCTCCTGCCTTTGAACCATAACGGGCGTTTGCCATCCTTCTTCGCAGCCGCTTTGAGTTTTACGTTTCCAACCAGGATTTTCAATTTCTGATGCTTCATGTCAGAATATGTTTTTGCACGCTGAAGGACAAGGATAATCCAGGAAGAGTTTTGGATTGGCCACCCTAATAGCCTTAACACCCGCTGGGGAGGAACGAGGGTGCAGAACTGGGACTGAAGAATGGTGGGGTGGGTTGTTGTTTTTTTGCACAACTGACACAATTGCTCCTTCGGTGATAACCGCCTTCACTTGTCTGATGACCAAAAGTGCTTTTTCGCTGGAAGCTGGTGTCGGGCAGCTGGATAAGGCAAATGAAGAGGCAGTAGAGGTGATTTCTTTCTTCTTCTTTTCTCCCCCAAAATGGCATGGATGCATCTGAACAGCTGAGGTCAGACTAGGGTCCCAGGCTTGGCTTTGTCCTGTCCGTACCACTGGACATCGGAGAGTTCTGGATAAAGGGCGGAATCCAGGTAGCAGCTATCGCTGTAGTTCCTACAGAGGGAGATGGAAGTTTGCATTAGTCCAGGTCCAATTACAGGTGCTCCTCTACTTACGACGGATCACTTAGTGACTCTTCTGACCCAGCTCCCCAAACACGACCAACCCTCTGACGTGAACTCAAAAGAGTCTTTTATTAGGAACGCCGGCAGCCCTGGGAAAAAGTTTCTCTCTCACCGCAGGATAAGGTCCATCCAGACAGGAGATGAGTTGTCTGCCACACCTATCCATCTCCGCCCCCTGCCTTTTATCCCCAGAGGTCGGGTGGGGCCTCGCTAGCAGCGGTGGCTCTTCCGTCCCAAGGACCGGCTCATAGATTTCCACTGCTCTCCTCTCCTCTGCCTTCTGCACATCAGGCACTGGATCCAGCTGTTCCTCCTCTTCCTCATCAGCCCCCTCCAGACCTGGGGTCTGTTGACTCACCATTGGAGGGCTGACGGACAGCCCAGTCTCTGCCTCTGTCCCTCCCTCTCTCTCTGCCATCTCCATTCCCTCTTTCCCCTTAGAGCTCCCAGGTTGCTCTGATGCTGACCCTGACTCCCAAGCCGCCTCCTCTTCCAACTTGGCTTCTGGAGGGGCCGATGGTCAACACGACACAACAGTGGCCAAACTTACAATGGATTCCTCCAAAGCTACTTATGACCCAGTTCTGAAATTCTGGAAAACACCACCACCCCCCGAGCCTGAGATCATTTGACCACATTTGGGGTGTTTAGCAACTGGCCGGCATTTATGGCCATTTGCAATGTCCTGGCTACAATTTATGATGTTTTCGCTGGACATCAGCGTTTATGTCCAGTTTTCAGCCAAAATTACAGTGAACAATGGGAGCATACGCCCTCGCATCTGGACAATGGTATCCCTCCTGGTGGGAAGATACCTTGTTTGGCCTGCAGTTCTCCACCCTTCCAGCCATTCAACTAGGAAACCCCTTCAGTAAAACATGGCATGCCTTATTCCTCTTTTTCCTTCCACCCCATTTAGTCTTCTATAAATACAGACGCGTTCAGCATTTGGGAGAGATGGTTGTAACCAACAGGAAAAAAAATATTTGTTGCTCAGGGTTGGGCTGTGGGGTCCTTGGTGGTCTCCGAGCATGGCGGTCTTCTTGTAGACCTTTCATGACCCAACTAGGGAACATCATCAGTGCTAACGTGAATGACATTACTTAGTTTGGAAATGAAACTTCTTGCAAGAAAACCGCCAAACTCGCAGATGGTTGTAAGAGCGAAGAGCTGAAGGACACGCCAAAAAAAAACAAAACGAAAGCAAGGATGGAGAGAGGCATGCAAAGGGAAATTCATGCACGTCAAGGATGAAACATGCATATATGAGTGCTATTGCACCGTTGGTTTGGTTCACTTCCACCAACAGTTTCACTAGCAGCTCGCTTGTGGTATTGTGTTAGAGCAAATCTAGAGGACTCTCTTTTCACTTCTCTTGTTCTTCCCACTACGTGTAACATTTTGCCTGCTAAGTTTCTTTCTGCTAATCTTACGTGACCTTAGTTGTGGCACCAGGGGGGCTCCAATCCCACATACTTCCTGCCGCTTACTTGGGATAAGAGAAGGAAATTGTGATTTCTCTATACAGGAGCCAAGATTTACCCAAACGTTGTGCTCTTACTCAGTACGGTTCAATATTCTGGACTACATAGCTGACCAAACTTGGGCTCCTCTCTTTGAGCTTCTGATTTCTTGCCTTGCAATCTCTAATCCAGTGTTTCTCAAACATGGATATTTGAAGAGGTGTAGACATTAACCTCTCATAATTTTCCAGCCAGCATGGATAAATTTCAACTCCCATAATTCTCCAGCCAGTATGGATGGACTTCAACTCCC